CATAAAAAATCTTAACAAATCTTCTGGTACGATGTTAAAATCTGACCCCCCCCTTTTTTTTTTTTTTTTTTGGTAGACAAATAGTTTCGTACACAAATTCGTTTTAGTACACAAATAGTTGATATTTGCAAATGCTTCAGAATTTTTATTCTTAAGGACCCAAGAATTTTTTAATTAGGATTATAAATTCCCAGCACCTGCGTTTTAATTTTGCAACTTCTGGAAGAAACGCTTTCTCTCCCGCAAAGCACGTTCATTTAATAAAGTATTAACTAGAACTAACTTAATTAACTAAATTAAATTCAAGATTTTCGTTATTCTAGAAGAGATGAATGCAAAAAAGTAGAGTTCATTTATTATAAACAATTTTGCCTATTTTTCTTTCTTACATATTATACTCATTCATATTTTATTAATTTTTTAAGTATAAATCACATTCTGATGGGGGCAGAACATCCCAATCTGAAAGGCCAATGTGGTTAGACCTCCAAGCTCTAAAAACAATGACGTCATTGTTTCTAAATAATTATTTTAAAATATTTTTCAACTCTTTTGAAAACCTATTCAATTTAAAATTTATCATCCGCAACTCATACTAAATAGGGATATGAAAAAGAATATAATTCATTCAAAAGTCTTAGCGTTATTTAAAATTCAAATCAATTTAAAATGTTGTCAATTTGAAGATAATTTTAAGCTTAGAAACTGGAGAAAAAGTATTTCTATTCTTTAAAAGAATTCGTGGATCTCTGCCGTGTTACTTGAACAAATGGTTCAAAGGAAGTTAAGTCCGCAATGACAATGGAGTAATATTTCTTATCTAGGCCAATCGTCTCTTCTCTAGATCGTCATTGGTGAGATGACACTCATCCTTCATTGGTTAGCGTGATAATTTATTCCCGGTAAACTGCAAGTATTACAATGGTTACGATTCTACATATTAGTGAATATAGAAACCTAATTTGAGTAATTGTGCTTTCGATTTATTGCTGGCTCCCAAGGATTTTGCATTATTGTTCATATCCATTTAAAACATCGTGTGATTTTCTTGAATACTGCGTCCCTCAGTCTTGTTGTGATGATGCATATAATTACCATTTTTAATATCAGTAATTCCAGAAGTTTATTTGATGTGAAATTTAAATCATGTGAAATACTTTTAACATTCATACTTTTAAGAGAGGAATGTATTCTTCGGTAGAGATAGTTTCGTGACGCAATAAATTTAAATAAAATACGTTATCAGTAGAAATCGGTAAAAAATATGAAAAGAAATTTATCGGATAAAAATAAGTATAAAAACTCAGATAAATAAATACTTTAATGACATAGCCGCTGTTACTATTATTATTGCCCTGCTGCTGTATGGATCATTAATTTTCCATGTTCTACATTTTATTCAAAGAGTTTTTCCCCCCTTTGCCCCTTTAACTGACGTTACATATGAGTGATTTTTAATATTCTTACTTAAATTACATATTTCCCTAATAATTTTTAATACATAGATGGATAGTTTTTTTCAAAAGAGAAACTATTTGTGCTTTAAAACAAAGAAATAAACAAACGAATAGAGTAAAAACAGACAACATCGGAATAAAACTTTAAAAATCTTAATATTTCAGTTGACAAGACATCAGCAAGTTTACCCTACTTTAGCATTTCTACATTTTTTTAATCGAATAACAACTTTGAAATGCAATAAATTTCATCGCATAAAGATTATTTTCAATTAGAAATAAACGTCCACAAAGGAATTTTTTTCTATTATATTCTAATTACGCTGTTATTTTGTCGGTGAATCACATGCAAGGCGTTTTCATGAGGAAAAGGGCCAGAGTGATTAAACGCTTCCAAAAATGCGGAAACGAACTCAATGAAATTGAAAATGACACCAGTCTCCACATCCGCATAATTGATTATCTTAAAATACTTACCAATAACAGAAAAACAAATGTCAACGCGCTGGGAATAAACTATTAGTTTTAATTAAACTCCAAATTCTGTAGATTGATACCATTAATAATGGCTTTCGTAGGATTAATGCATGTAAACGATAAACGAGATCTTGAACTTCTCTTCCTGCATTGATTTTTTTCTTCTTTTTAATTTTTTTTATGAAGTTCAAATTTATATTGAGCCTCCTTTACTGTCTATCAAGCGGAAAGTGTATCTCCTTCTCTTTTGGGTAATGTAAGTCGATGATTTTAAAAACTGTGTACTTATTTCTTTCAGCGCATTTCAGTTTTGCTCAAATAATAAGAGTTTGCGTGCAGGTAAGTATATACTTTTAATAGTTTGAATATTCTTAGTGTGTGTATGTGTATATAATTTACATATTATTTTCATTTGCATTTAAAAATGGAAAGCGGAGAATGGATTTCTGATAGTTTATCATTCATAAAATTTTGAATAACGGAAATAAAATAAAACACAATGGGATAAAATCAAAAAATTATAGTGCATATTACTGATAACTCTTACTTTAAACTGGGAATAGCCTTAAAATATTCTCCCGAGACTTAAAATCAGCATTTTGAGTATTAACTATTTTCCATTTTAATGCTTTAAATCCTCTTTTATTAAACTTATTCTTCATTCCTTTGGGTGTTATCCTCCACTCCCCCCCCCAAAGAAAAATTCTTTAAATCTAACTCCAAGTATCTTTTTAGCCAAGCAGATCTGCTGTTTGAGACAAAAACAATGCTAACTGACAAAGGTAATTCTAATTTCCTTCATTACTCAAAAGTTGTGTTCAAGAGACAAGAATATAAATTTAAGACTTAAATATTTAAATAGTGCATTTATAAAGCACAGGCGAGTTTTAATTACTAGATCTTAATTCAGTTTTAGAATCTTCACAAGTCCGAAAATTCATTTTTTCATTTGCTGAGAAACAGTTCAATTCTTAGTCACCAGAGTCCTTGACAAGTTTTGAGTCCATCAACGACCGAGCGGTCAAGTCACTGAACACTGGTAGTTCGGTCTGAGGTTCGATTCCTGCGAACGGGCTGGCTGCATGGGCGTTTTTGTGGTTTTCTCCATGTGAAACGTGTATACGAGCCATTTTCCCTTAGAAAGTCCTCCAAGAAGGCATTCATTGCCTTAGGCAGATAGCCCTCGAGGCTTTGCCGTAATCACATAAACCAAGGTAAACCTTGCAATGTTTAGCAGATGCATCAAAGTACTTTTGACATTTACAATTATGAACTTGGGCTTATGAAATTCAAGGTACTTAAAATGTCAATCTCCTTCCTTACCAAGTTGCCAGATTTCATTAATATCTCAAATACAATGCTTTATGCAAAATTAAGTCTTTTATTTGAAATCTTATCTCTTAATTCAACAAGTCCTACCTTTCCATAACTGGCAAGTTTATAGACAAATTTTGCAACAAATTTAAAGCAAATTTGGATGGCTCTTTTCCCTGTCTTGCCCCAAAAGAATATGAACTTTTATTCATCTGAATTTTTAATTTTTATCATTAGTGGTCGATCTTAAGAAATGGAGAAAGAAGTTATTAAAATATTTTCCCCTTTTTATGATGGAAACCACACTTTAATAAAAATTTGAGTAACGGAAAAAGGTAAAATTTGAGTGAGGAAAAAAGTCACACTTTAATAAAAATTTGAGTAACTTCTAATAGCATTTTAAACCTGATAGTTTCTGTCTTCTGAACCCGTTAACAAACATTAATACACATAATTCAGGTATTTGCTTCCTAGGATGTAGAATATTGTATTGAATTTTAAATTTCAATGTTACGAATCATTTTTATTAACAGTTATATATTACAAATAATTCTCTTCAATTCAAGTTATCATGATTGCACAAATGCAGAAAGTGGACTGAAATCTTATTTTTTTGTGAGGAAGCTAAATAATAGTCTACAAATAATAATTAGACGGTAACAGACTTCTTACCGTCCCACTTTTTAATAACTTCAATGATTCTAGATTTTGAATTAAATTTATTATTTCCTTCTTAACTTTGAATTTGTCCAATTTCACACAAAATAAGTACTAGAAAATTTACCTGCAGATTTTTAGCTTATTTTGGCTGATAGCTTAAAAAAGGACAGCTGATTGTACATATCATCATCAAGGCATCATTATCTTTACAAATATAGGTCATTGACCAACAGTTATCCTGAATGTGATACTAGAGAACCTTAAAGTTGATGTATAAAAAAGTCATATCGAGAAATTTAGTAAGTTACTTGACAATAGCCACGATGAATTGCATCGTTATATTTACATCATATACATTACTGAAGTGTTTTTACATCTAAGGTATCGTTTCCGTTAAGAAGTTGGTAACAATTCTTCCCCGTTTTGAAGGCAGAACAGAACTGTTCAACAGGATCTAACTCTTCCTAATGTCCATAAATTAGTTACAGCTGCACTTAGGTATTTATTTTTCATTAATATTGCATAATTAGTTTATTCATTGCTCTTTCATATTAACATATTTATTTTGGTAATGCAGGAAAAACTACATCATGAGACGTCTTTGATCTGAAAGCTTGAACGCATTTTAGTTTTAAACAATTATAGTATTGGCCACAGAAAATGAACACAAAGTTGCGGCTGATTTTAAAAAGAAGGATTTAGGGTGCTGGTGTTTAAAATAACGCCAGGAAAGATATTTTGATTTTAAATGGAATGCTGTTTTCGTTTAGGGTTCATTTGGGTTGGAGGGTCATTTATTTACATTTATGAGCACACATCATTTAAAAATCCAGTCTTATTCTATAAAGATTTTTCTTTGAAGCAATATGCCCATCAGCATTTTGCAGAGCAAAATCAAATGTTATTGTAAAAATTCACAAAACTGTTTCCCAGATATAGTATCGAAAACACAGCACATAGTTTCTAGAGATTTTACATCTCATAGAAGTGGTGAAATACATAAAATAGAAAGTAAGAGTATTCCAAGATTATTTACGATGCAATTTACCATAATTTCATTTTTTAAGGGAGTTTTGTGTCTTTACCAAGAAATCTCTATAAAAATTGACAAAAGTAAATGTTTAATTGAAAAATAGGAAATAAATAAATTGATGACTAACTCTTCTGTTTGACCCAGCACAGATACCCTCCAGCTCATGGAAACTAAGCACTGATTGAAACTCAAAGGTAAGAAATAAACATTTTTCGAAGTTTAAATAATTGTATGGCTATTTCTGTTTTCTTACCAATGAAGCATTTTTGAGTTAGTATTCCTGCTTTCAGCCATACGCTTTCTGAATGAAGCTTAAAATTAATTACTGGGATTTCAGAAGAGAAGGAAAAATTTGATGTAAGTAGTAGTAGTAATACAAAGTAGCAGCAGTGTTATTAAGTAAGTAATACTTAGTAGCGTAACAGTAGTAGTAGTAGTAGTAGCAGTAGTAGTATTAGCAGCAGCAAGAGTAGTATTAGTAGTAGTAATGGCAGTAGTAGAAGTAATAGTAGTAGTAGCAGCAGCAGCAACAGTAGTAGTAGTAAAAGGAATCAGAGTAGAAATAGGTAAAAAATTGATACAATGTTAGTAATGATAGTTATAATGATCATATCAATCGATAACAATAATATTTTCGCCTTTGCATGCGCAAATTCGGAAATATAAAAATTTCGCCTTTACTTAACTAGTTCTGCAAAATAGTTCCGGCCCTAATTCTTTAGAGTATTAATTGCTTTTATAATTTATAATTATTTTATTAATTGCTTTATGACTCATATCCACTTTCTAAATCGTCAAAGCGATGATAAAAATGTAGTCAATAAAGAATCCTAATTCTTTCTCCCTTTAATTCCCTCCCCTCTTTGTTTCCCAGATTTCCCATGCTCTTATGCAGACTAAAACGTGTTGTAGTTTAGTGATTCGATGACTCTAAATTTTTCATTTAACAAATGAAAAGTTGAGAATTCCGGAAAAAGGGAAGTGTACAGAAAACACGTGTACTTAACAAATAAATTGTCAAACATTTAATTATTCTCAGAATTTCTTCAAATTATTACACATTTTAGAAACTGCGGAATATTTCTGCTAACAATTTATTTTTCATGAATGCATTTATTGCTAAATAGTTTGACTTAAAAAGATAATTACAAAACACCATTTTTGTGTTTCTTTATTGAGATACGTGATAAAACTATTGTTAGAGATTTAAATTTTTGGATTTTTCATAATCAATTCATTACAGGTTTACATTAAAATACCAGGTAGTTTAAGTTTTTAGTTTATTTTCCTTCCCCAGTTATTTCATTTTTAGGGTTTTTCCGTGTAAGTTTCCCTTTTTTCTGCACAATATTCTTATTTTCAGCTTCTGAGTATTAACAAGGGTATTTGAATCTGAGTACAAACAGATAAATTTGAGTAAAAATTATAAAATGCATCTGAGTGAAATAATATCTGTTTTAATAACATAAATCCTTAAATGAATATATGTCATTTAGTGCGCAATGAAATATTTTATAGTTTGTTGTTAACTTTTCTTTCCATAGTGCTCTTCAAATTATTCGGGATGAAATTTATGGACGGTTAGCGAGGAAACGTTTACACTCCACTCATTCAAGCAATGAATATATAACAATATGCCAAACAAATAATCGTTGAAACTTTCTCAATCAGTCTTTTATAAATAAGAAGTTTGAGAGAAATTAAATTTCTGTGTTATAGTTAAATACACGCAAGAGTTTTACTTTACTGCTCTCTATTTGAAAATTGCTTACAGGATAGCGAAACGCTGAAAGAAAGTCAAAAAGCATAAAATGTTCATCACCATTGATTGATGATATTGTTCACGATTTTTTTTTCTTAGTCTTGTCTTAATAAAAGGGATGGAATAGATTTGATCATAATATTTAATTAAAAAACAGGTACTATCATTTTGTTCAAGTAAAGCGAAATTTGTCAAAAGAACATGAAGGTTACTACAGGTTTTAACCAGAGATTTGCAACCTTGCAGCTTTTACTTATATAGGATGATTTGCATATATCTCTTGCCGTTCTTAATCATTCTTATTAAAGTTATTAGTACATATAACTGGGCTGTAGCTAGACAACCTTTCTGGCTGTGAAACTCATCCACGAATGAAAACGATAACATAACAAATGCACTAATTTATCTAGTTTATGCTTCTTCCTGAGGAATGAATTTGCTGTTCACAATTTCTAATTATAAAAGTTATAATTCAGTTGCCACGATTGGCGACAATTTTTGGTGTTGCTTTCATTCTGGCTTACTTTGGCGATTGGAAACTGATAACCCAAGACATGTGAAACGGGGCTGGGAAAATAAAAGAAAGATGCGTAAAAAATAGAGAACACACTGCGAGATAAGTTGAACAAAAAAGGAAATGGAATGAAAAAATTCTTCCCTTCTCACCTCCGCCTCTTTTTATTTATTTTTTCTTTTTATTTTATTTATTTATTTATTTTTTTTACTAAAGCGAATGAGAAGCAGATAACTGATTCTGCAGTTCTGAACTGGAAAATTTCGCAGAACCAGTACAACTTCGTTGGTAGAACACGCCCAAACAACCACTACATCAGTGTTTCCAAGCTTTGTGTTTTACCTGCGAATTTTCTTATTCTTTTTCATCTTTTCCTTTCCTCGTTGTGCTTTGCTTTTTTTTTCCTTTCTCTCTCGTTGTTTCTCTATCGGCCTATTATACGTTTGTATCTCCCCCATCCAAGTCTTCCCCCTTTAGCTTGCATAGCTTATACAGAATAGTACTAACCTCCCTTTTTCTCATTGGAAGTTTGGTGCCAGGATAATTCTATGTTCCAGACACTGTTCCAGTGCAAAAACAGTTTTGCGTTTTTCCGTTGCTAGGGAACGAGTAGATATTATATCGTGCTTTGCGCTCCTGATTTAAAAAGGATATTCCCCGTATCATTCTAAGACGTTCGCTGCAACTCCGATTAAAGACTGGTTATTCGTAGACTAAAAAAAAGAACGTTAAAATTATATCAGAACTTTTCAAAGGTCCTTAGTAATTTTCAAGAACATATAATTAAATCACATGTAATAGATGCAGAAGCACATCTTCTCTAACGAAAGAGAAACAAAAGCTATCTGGCAGTTTAATGGAAGGTTGGATTGCTTTATTTAACCTTTATAAAGTAGAACAGACGTACAATTATCAAAATGAAGCGTAGGATTTTTTTTAACCTTTAAAATTTTTTAAAAAAGAAATGATGGACTAAATTCTGAAGGAAAATAATTATTTTAGTTATGCAAAGCGAAATCATAAACATTGACTTTCCTCTAAAATAAGAATGGAAAGTGAAATAAATTATAGATGTAAAAAACGAAAGGTATTTCCTGTATAAGATGAGAAGCTCAAACAAATAATCAAAATTCTTTAATTATCCTGATAAATGACTTGAGATATGCCATCCATGTACTGAATATTTATAATAATTTACATGTTTGAAATATGAATACTTTTTCTTAATGCAATTCAAAAGTTGTTAAATAATAAAAAGAAAGGAAAAATACATGCTCACTTTATTTCATAAATTTAATTCTAAGTCTAGAGCATTTTCCAACGTACTGATCAGGCGGAATCACAAATTTAAGTTTTCATACCTGTCGCACGTTTTCTTTCATGTTTTTTGAGAAAGTATTGGCTTAATGTTTCATAGTTTGTTCTTTTAGTTTGAGATAGCTACAATATTTTGAACGCCGCTGTTGATATTTTTCTGCCGCCCAACCGGGATAATAGTTAGCGATTCTGACTGCCATACCGAAGGGCGCTAGTTCGAATCTCGGAAAAGGCATGAATTTTTGCAAATGTATAGTGTCTGTGCGGCATGGGGACACTCTAAATATAGGGCGAGCCGAAAGTCCTCTCGAGAGGCTGGTGTAGGGAAAGAGGGGTGGGAGACCCTCTGACCTGTCCTTCCGGGGCTCTCTCCATCAAAGGGGGCGGAACTGAGCAAAGTCGTACTGTTCCCTGCATGGTGCTCAAGGCTCTTGCCAGTGACAGGAGCAGTCTTGCACTCCTTTTCACGATACATTTCGTGGACTTGTTTTGATGTTACTGTCAGACAAGTGAGATAAGTCACAACAACAACAAATAATATTCTGGAGGTTAAATGCTCTCTATAGATTTGTTTTATTCTTCATTTTCTTAGACTATACTTTTAATTAAAACAGAATGTAATACAATCAGTTTACTTTTTGTAATATGGGTATGGAAACTGAAGTCTGACTAACATGTATTAAATTAATAACCTAACATATATTAATGTAATGAAACTAACATGTATTAAATTTTATCTTGCAGATCAGTTTCAAGTAGTTAGCTCGGTTACTTTAAGGCAAAACATGCGAGGGCTATCTGCCTCAGAGGATTGATGCCTTCATCGAGGACTTTCTAAAAGAAACTGGCTTATATTCACTTTATGCATGAGAAAAACCACGAAAACTAATCTTGCATCCAGGTGTCGAGCTCCCAGTATTCAAAGTTTAGAACTGGTGTCAGAACAGGTGGGGGGCGCTTAAAATGCTCAGTCGCCTTATTAGTTCAGAAACTTTTGTTTCACGTTAGTGTTGTCTTTTTCTAATTCTATGGTCTTTTTATATCATTCTAGGCATGTAGATGGAGAACTAAGAGCAGGAAATGCAATAAATGAATATGTATAACTAACTAGAAATTTCTTTTTTCGATAATTTTTACCTTCAGATAATTGATTAGTTTGGAAAAAGTAAAGAAATAATATGCACATAAGTAACAGTGGCATGGTATTAGGTCAGCACATCAGTGACCTAGTGGTAAAATTGCTGAACATCAGTAAGTTTATTCCATTATTATATTATCATTAGTAAGTTCGAATTTCATAGATCGAGCTAGTTACATGACATTTTGACCGTACATAACCGTACATAACGTGTACATTTGTACCGTACATAACGTGAATATAAGTTAGTATTCCTTAGTATGTCTTTCACGAAGGCACGAGTGCTTTATCTAGACACAAATCCTTATGTGCATGCCATAATAACAAACAAGCAATAAAGTTTCGCGTTACTCTGGCTTGACAACTCGTGTAATGAGTAAGGATCCCATTTAAAAAAAAATTAAATAATCTGTCTGTCTCTCTAATCTATCTATTTATATATATATACACACATATATATATATATAGATATAGATATAGATATACATATACATATTTTAATTTACAGTGCGTCGAAAATAAGAAGCGATATAATTTAAACTTACTAAACATTCTTAGATTATTAAGTTGGATTATTCTATTAGTGAAATTACGTTTATAGTCTCAATTATTATCGTTTGACGAAA